TTTTGTGTTGTGTTTCTGGTGGGGGAAAAAAAAGGTTTTTCAAGCAAATTGCTGTTTTCCCTTCCTTGCGTTATAATTTTATGTTGCTGGGAAAAGTGTTTGCAGGAAAACATTTAATAGCTCATGAGAGCTTTTTACTGTTGGTCTCTGTGACTTCATATGTCTTTTTCCTGCAGTATTGCCAATTTTTCCATATGAATAAATCAGATTGGAATCTTTAAATTCCTAGATGATAGTTCACGAATAAGTTGGTGTGTTATATGGTTTATATATACACACTGTATATTCTGTATATTAGAACTTTACAGGTTATATATGCTGTGTCTAGCATGCTAGTCATTAACGGCTAGCAGCTGAGATACACTGCGTATAGGAGCATGCATTCTGTTTATTATCCTCAGTTTTTCTGTGGATAGTGTCTAGCGACAGTGAGATGGTTTTTGCAAACTGGATGCCGGCAAACCATTGAGAATGGGAAAGACTCATACAATACTTACAGTGTCTAGACTTGAAAGGTGCCCTCTTCAGCCATGTGCATTCACATTGCTGCCTTTCCATTATGTATATTACGTATAGGTATTTTCCTAATACCACGTCCATTTTGATCACAAAGGGAGGGCAGTCAGCAGGACAGAGCTCATCTTCATGAAATATGAAAGCCTGTTTCCTTACTAACAGTTTGGAAGGGAGTTTATGAGTGATTGTGCAGATGGGGCAGGGCCAGTGAGGCCCTTGATGGTGTACGGCATGAATTGAATGGTGAGGAAGAGGGTAGATAATGAGACTCTTACCTCTAGCCCAGACTTTTCCAGCATCTTTGGCCCATGTTTTGCTACTCTCTGGCAGTTCAGCAGGCCATGGGCTCAAGAGGGACAGGGAACATGAACTTGTCCCAGGTCTCTCCTCCTTGTTTTCCTTCTCCTGTGCTCCTGTGTACACACACACATAGTATTTCCTGGAGTCTAAGATGGGCAGAGTATAACTCAATATTGATTTCCTACAGTGTTTCAAGATAAAACAGTACGTTCATCCTTTGTAAATCTCATCCACATCTCGGAAACATCCAGAGGTGCAAAATACATCTCAGAGTGAAATTAATTTGCTGTGTGAGCATAGCTCACATTTCTTACATGCACCAAGACTTACTGTGTCCATCAGCCCCTCTTCTGTCTGAGGGTGAGAGGAGCCAACAGATAAAAGGCCAGGATATTATCCCATAGTGACACAGGCCAGCGATTTACCCAGGTTTGACACTTAGGGTGATAATTTTTCCAAAGGTAGGTGTGTGTCTCTGTGCTGCAAATGACAGCTGCAGGATCGTCTGGCTGGACCTCAGCTCGGTGAGAAGGGCTGCGCCAGGCTCTTGCCCTGATTTTCATGTAGCCCTACCAGTGCTTATTACCTATCTCCAGGGTTGCTTTGGGTTATAGATCCCCTCCTCTAAACACACACACACACACACACACACACACACACACACACACACACACACACACACACACACACACACACACCCCCCTACCTTTTAATTTACCAATGTATCTTGTAGATGAAGGGCCACTGCTATGAAATTTAATGAATAGAGAGAGTATTTCTGCTGACAAAGGTAGGAAGTCACAAGTGTAGACATTTTAGTCCATTTACAGAAAATTGCCTGTTCTCAGGCAGGTGGGTCAAGTGCAGGAGTCACTACTTGAGATAACATTTCCATCCCACACTTGGCTTTCTGTCTGCCAGGACAGGCAGCTAAGAGGTGCCTAGATTTGAACAAACTACTTGGTTGCTACTGATCATTAGGTCACTGGCCTTATAGATTATGATGGGCTGGTTATAATGGATTTCACCAGCCACCCTCATAGCTACAAGTATGTGCATTTATAATGGACCCAGAAGGGTGTAAGAAATTAAGGTGCAATTCTTCCTAAAGTGAAGGAAATGAAAGGTATGGCATGACTTGTCCTAGGCAGGACAGGAAGTCAGGCACTTCACTCCCCGACAGCGTGTGCTTCTGTCCAAGAAAGCTCTGGGTACTGTAGACATCACAGAAAACAGTGCCCTTTCTCTTCTGCATTCAAACTTTGTTTTTATTTATGTACCTGCCAGAGTGGCCAGTAGTCATTAAACAGATGAATCGGGGCTGGAGAGATGGCTCAGTGGTTAAGAGCACTGACTGCTCTTCCACAGGACCCTGGTTCAATTCCCAGCACCCACATGGCAGCTAACAGTTGTCTGTAACTCCAAGATCTGACCCCCTCACACAGACATACATGCAGGCAAAACACCAATGCACATAAAATAAAAATAAATTATTAAAAAAAAAACAGACAAATCAGATCTTGTTCTGAAGCTATAAGAGCTAAACGGCAAAGATAGTTTTTTTTCTCCCTTCAGGCTGACTAATTTCCTTGTTCCAAAAGAAGAGTGTGGCTGGTGAGATGACTCAGCAGGTAAAGGCGCTTGCTGCCAAGCCTGATGATCTGAGTTCAATTCCAGGGACTCACACGGTGGAAGGCGAGAACTGACTCCTGCAAACTGTCCTCCGACCTTCACATGTAGACACATCCATACTTAATAAATGTTAAAAGTTTAAGGAGACTATCAAGCCTTCATGGACATTTTGAAGAACGTTCGAACATACCTAGCAAAGAGAAATGTTTCAAGCAGGTCCTCATAGCCAGTAGGTCTTGGAGATTCAAGGAACTGGTTTCTCTCTGGACCTGAGCTTTGGTTTTACAAGTTGCCTTACTAAAATGTACCAATCATATTCTACACTGGGGCAGACAGAATCACTCCTCTCATCAGCATTTCATAAACACAGAACTCACAGGTCTCTGAGAGGCTGCAGGACTTTCTCACGGAGCAGAGCCAGGTCTTGGAGTGATTTTGTACCTGTTCTTCTGAATTCACACCAGCTGAACAGGCAATGAGTCAGGGCCTCTCTTTTTGATTCTGCACCCCAAAGAAGTGAAGCCTGGGGAAGGCACCTGTGACCATTCTCTCAGTCTCAGCAGATTGCCTAGTGAGCTTTTCTAACCTCACCAGGGGTTGACTGGCTTCGGAGCTGGAGTCTAATATGATAGGCCCAGAGACAAACTAGCAAGTGTGTATTGGTATCGTGCACTCTTCACTGTGAGTAGAGCCATACTTACTGCTCATAGGTTCCCTTCTGAGGGGGATGGCTGGGCAGTAAGTACGTATATGGAGCCTTAAATTTTACTTACATCAACTTCAGGTTAGACAGATGTCAGGTTAGAGGTTTGACTGGCTAGTTAATAAAACTTGCCTTGAAAGAGTGCAGTCTGGTGAAGAGATCTTAAGCATCATTCCTAGTCACTCTAGGCCATTCTAGCAGGGACCAGCAATCAAGCCAATGTCCCCAGGCCTTCACTGTGTCCTTGATGCAGAAGTGCCATGGCATGGCAGATGTTCACAGTGTCTTGAGTGCAGCCTGGAGAGCTGGCACAGGGCTCCCTGCTCTGGAGTACAGAGTACAGAAATGTCAAATTGCGTGTTAGCTCTTCCTGCTCTCCCTCCTTCCACTCACTTTCAAAAAACTTAGAATATTTTTACTCTTTGAGAATCTGTCTCTTGATAAGAGCTTTTAGAAAAATTCTCATGGTGTTCCTGGTGTGCTGGGACAAAGTGCTGTCCACACTTTGGAGAATCAAATGCATCTTTGTTAGAAGCTTCTAGAATAGTTTCCTAGTCTGATTCTTTCTCAAGCTCCTCTCAACCTTCTCTTTGGCAGCTCAGCCTGTTTATTTCTCACCTTTGGTTAACTCTGTATGCATGGGAGCTGCCTCCTGGCTGATACTTAGTGTCTTCTCAGCCACTGTCCTTCATTATAAACTCTGAGCAGCAGCTTTGTAGAAGGCACCACAGTTTGTGTTGGTGTCACTATTTTGTTCCTGCTTCAGTGGCCTCTGGGCTCTGATTATAGACCCTCATCCCTCAAGCCTTGCGAGCACCCATGGGGCCTGCCACACACAAGGCCTGACCATTGTTTCATCTGTAATGGGGATACCACATAGCCCCACAGTCAGGGAGTTGGGGGGTCAGTTCTGTCAGTGGTGGTTTTTGGATAGCTATCTGTATGATACTCTCCTAAAGTATAGAAAATGTCCACATTCACGTATGCATTTTTATAGCACCCGAATGTTGTGTTTATATACATATGTATTTTTTAACTAAAGAAGAAAAGTAACCCTGCCTTTGTACGTGATCCTTTTAACAAACTGTTTATTATTGTATTCAGGTAACAAGCATGGTAAGTATATTCTCTAAACTGAGTATTCTGTATTTTAGCTGTGCTTGGCAGACTTTTATTTTGGCTAGCTTTATGTTACCAGTCTTGGCTTTTTAGAAAAGATCCATTTAGGAAAGGAAAGACTGTAGCATCCCCTACACTCTGAGCTTTGGTTAAAGGAACCACTGTAGCCTTAGCCCCATAGCATGTGCCCTGACAGCATGCTGCTTGGCTGCCCACCCCCTGCCCGTCTGCTGCTTCTGAGCTGCCCCTCCATAGATATCTGCCAGGGTTCCTGGGCCTTGAATGACCCCAGAAGGGCCTGGCACTGTGGCCCAGTGACAGCAGGCACCCAAATAGTGCTCCCTAAATTCTGTAGCTGGCCCTGCCCCTGCTGATAGCTATTCTTCTTACCTTTCACTTGAAAGCAGGGTCACCCCTACTCCTAGTGTGATAAATCATTGGAATTCTTCTGGAAATAGAAACAATGAATACATTGTTTGGCTCCCTATCTATTGGAAAATGGATTAAGGGTTTAAAACCCAACCTTGCCACTAGGTATTGCTTGCTAGTAGCCCTAGTTCCATGAGCCAGAGTCACAGCCTCCTGGCTGTGGTGTTCTCTCTGTGCATGTGTGCTTCCCTGGCCCCTGTGTGGCTCTGTATTTTAGTCCTTGTGCTCGTGGCTGTACTTTTTAACCCACATGGTAGCCATGTGTTCCATATTAAGTCAGTGTGTCACTGTCATCTTCAAGGATCAGACTGCCAAGGACAAGGCCTTGCAGCACATGGCTGCCATGTCATCAGCCCAGATCGTCTCGGCTACTGCCATCCACAACAAGCTGGGGCTGCCTGGAATTCCACGCCCCACCTTCCCGGGGGCACCGGGGGTAAGTTAGGAACCAAATCCAGGAATGATGGTTTATTGGGTATGATGGTGTAGCTACTCAGGATGCTGATTTTTAGGAGAATCACAAATTTGAAAGCCTGTTAGGGCTACACAGTAAGTTCAAGGCCAGCCTGGTCAATTTGATGAGGCCCTATCTAAAACTAGAATTAAGAGGGACTTAGTGAGAATGTGGCTCAGTGGTAGAGCACTCACTCATCATGTATGAAGCCCTTAGTACAGTCCACAATATCACAAAATAGATAGTGGATGGATGGATGGATGGATGAATGGATGGATAGATAATGAATAGAATAAAAGATAGATGATAGATGGTATATAGGTAGATGGTGGATATATAGATAGATGGTGGATGGATGGATAGATAGATGATAGATAGAGGATGGGTAGATGGATGGATGGATAGATATATAAGACAAGGAAGGTGAAAGATGAGGCTAGAAAGAAAAGAGAAGGAAAAGAAGGATTGGTGGGAAGGAAGAAGGGAAAAGAAGAAAAAAGGGGAAATAAGAGGAAGGAGAAAATTGGGAAAGAAATGAAATTAAATATTTTGTTTCTGGTGACCCATTTAGTTGTGGCCTGCCTCTTTTACTCTTTTTCCTGGTTCTTGGTCTCCATCCCTGTATCCTCAGGGTCACTTTATAGCAACCACTGGGGCAGCTCCCGAAGGCCTAGAAGCTGTTTGTTACATCTTGTTTCACCCCAGGGCCATCTTCAGTGGTGTCAGTGTCATGCCATTTTTGTAGATCCTGAAGCTGAGGTTACTCAGTAATGAGGCGCCAGTAGAGGTGACTTGGTCATTCCGATAAGTAATACTGTCATGATTCTGCCCTTCTCCCTCTTGATGGGGAATAGCAGGTACCAAAGGCCTTAGGTATGCTCATAGCAAAAAGGAGTGCCCTAGTTGCTTCTCTAAGCTCTGGCTTTGTTATTTCAAAGTCCATGTGTTGCTGCATTGGACCTTGGGAGCTGCATACTTTGGGGTATACAGGAAGCACTTGGAGTAGAGGAGGGCCAGCCTTTGCAGAATAAACTGACCTCTTGACCTTAGGAGAGTTTTCAGAACGTGGCGGCTAAAGGGAGCTGCTATTACCAGGTCAGGGGTAGGCTCTGGTCTAGAACACAGCACCAGCCACACCTGTACCGAGGATGCCACAGCAGGCGGGTGGGAGCAGTCTGGTGTTCTTCAGTAAGGGCTTATCATGTGGCCATGTCCCGAACTGCACTTTAATGAGAACGTATAACCTGAAGCTTTTGCCTCTTGCTTTCCAGTTCTGGCCTGGAATGATACAGACAGGACAGCCGGGATCCTCACAAGAGTAAGTCTGTGAAAGGCCTGGACAGCAGGGGTTAGCCCACCCTGGGGGGGATTTCTCCTGAACTAGGCTTTCTTAGGGGATAAGGGAGAGAAGACTGTCAAACGGAAGTCCCTGAATCTGCCTTTCCTTGTGTCCCCATGTTCTCGGACATGAAAAGGAGCCACCTTTGAGAGTATAGATTCCTTTCTCCCACCTTCAGTATTAGCAGTGATACAGCCGGAAACTTGAATTAGGTCTCCCATCCTTTGTGGCTTTGGCTGCAGCACCAGAGTCTCCCTCACCTGTGAAAGGTCAACAAAGATGCTGTCTCTTTCCACTGTGCTTGTCCCTGCAATGGGAGTGCTTGATAGACAATCCCAGAGACCCCTTGAATTCAGGGAGCAAGCTCAGCCCACAAGAGGCGGAAAGGAATTTTTCTTTGTATATATTGAGCCATGTGGTCTGGAGAAGGGAGATCCTGACTCCTGGCATCCTAAACCTTTCCTAGGCCATGACAGATGACCTAGGTCTGTGTGGGCATGAAAAGTGCTCTCCATGGGTGTCTGCTACACCATGGGGAAGTCAGGATGAACCCTCTCCAGCTTGTCACACCAAATCATTGTGGGTGTTTGGTCCTCTGCAGCCTGCTGACCAGCCTCTCCCTTGGAGGGAGAAACTTCCTTTTTGTAGATACAGTTCAGCATGGAATGGGCAACCCAGTGCAGGCAGGGAGCCAGGCAGTGTGATGGGGTCATGGGGGAGTCCTGCTGGAGACCAAAGCCAGGCCTGGGTTGTAGCCACCACTGTACCCATAATTTTAACTCTTGCTAACTGTTTGTCCCCAGTGTCAAGCCCTTTGTGCAGCAGGCCTACCCCATCCAGCCAACAGTCACAGCCCCCATTCCAGGTAAGTCTCCCTGCTTCTTCAATGGAGAGCGAAGGGCACCCTGGGTCCCAAGAGTGCAGTGATACCGTTCTTAGCCACCACCAGCTGCCCCTCTTCTTTTCCCTCCTAAGGGTGGGCCCTATTTTGAAGCCAAGAAAAGTCCCAGGCATCTCCCATCAGATGCTGGGTCCCTTCACTCGAGAGTTCCTCTCCCAGGGGCTCACTAGTTAAGAGCCCCGATTGCCATTGCAAAGGCCCTGGGTTCGTTTCTCAGCACCCACATCATACCTTATAACCATTTGTTAATCCAGTTCCAGGGGATACAATCCCCTTTTCTGACCTGTGGGTACCAGGTGTGCCCATGGTGCACATACGTGTATGCAGGCAAAACATTGAAGGTGATAAAAATTAGTAGATTAAAAATAAATCTAAAAGCAGCCATGTCTCCCAAGAGCTCTTCCTGCGGGCTTGTTGGGAAACAGGAAGCCTGGCCACTTTCACTTAAGACGCCGGGTCCCACTTAGGAGGGAAGTTGTTGTGGTTGCCGTCTTCAGCAGCTGCCAAGTCCTGTACTCTGAGTCAGGCACAGCTAACTTCAGCTTTCTTAGCTAGTGAATTTTGGTTCCTCGGTGGCTTCCTTCTGTAATTAAGGGCTGACATAGACGCTCATAGCAGAAGCTCTGAACCTGGCTGGCCCATCTGGCTCCCCTTCTCATGAAAACTCTCTCATCCAAATACACATAGTGTCACTCAGCTGAAATTCTTGAGGTACTGTATAATCTTTGACCTACCCCTTTAGTGTCCCAAGTAAAATTGCAGTCCCTTGTTACCCTCTGTTTCCATGGAGCATCCTGAGGGAATGTTCCTAGTCTTGAGATGGAAGATGAGCCAGTAGCAGCAATGCTGTATGGGTCCTAGCTTCACAGGATGCCTTCACAAGCATTTCCTTAGATGCTTCTGCCGTTCTCGGCTTGCTCTCCAGCCCGCCCTCTTTACCCAGGATTACCTGCCTATATTAGTTGCTTTGACAAAATACCAATACAAGCAATTGAAGAGAGGAAAGTTTTGTTTGTTTTCTCAATTTGAGGGTAGAGTCCGTCTTGGCAGTGAGGTCATGGTGGCCGGAGTGTGAGGTTGCTAGCTGGTCACATTCTCTCCACAGGCAGGAAGCAGAGAGAGATGAAAGCTGATGCTCAGCTCTCTGTTTCTTCTATATGTTGTCCAGGGCCCTAGCTGTGAGATGGCATTATCAGGATGACTCTTTCCTTTTCCTAAGTTAAACCTCATAGATGTTTTACCATAGTGATTGTCAATTGAAAACTGACAATGGACATTAACTATCAACCAGCAGTGTCCTCCTGCCACAGTCCCTTAACCTTAGGTGGAGCTATCTTCATGGTGAGCCTCATGTAATCTGTTCAGCTGTCACACTGCCTGAGTGCCCTTAGTGGAGGGAGTTGTCCTTTCCTTCCAGGTCCTCTGTGTTTGGAATTCCATCCCATTGAGGTCTAGGAGGAGGTACATGTGGACTTGTGTAAAGGTGACAATTGTTATTTCAGGGTTTGAGCCTGCATCAGCCCCAGCTCCCTCAGTCCCTGCCTGGCAGGGCCGTTCCATTGGCACAACCAAGCTTCGCCTGGTAGAATTTTCAGCTTTCCTTGAACAGCAGAGAGACCCAGACTCGGTGAGTATGCCCAGAGGGGTGTGGCTAGTGGCAAGTGTTCCATGGCTGCTCATTTCTCCACTCTGTGGTCTATCTCTTACTGACCCCCTTTCCCTTACACCTCCGTGAAATGTCCTGAGTCAAAACATGACATGGAACAGCCAGGGAGCCCTTCTTCACCCAGGGAGAAGGATGCTCTTGGCAGCTAGCTCCAGCTTCAAAGGTGGGTGTTTATTGCTGCTTGGACCACATGTTCCAGGGAGTACCTTGGCTGGAGGGCAGGCCCTCACCAGGCTTATGTAACGTTTATTGAGCATTCTTATGTGGCTGATATGATGTAAAGTATTTGGACACTATTAGATAAATGATGACAGTGGACTAGTAACTTCTTCAATCATATAGTTAATATTTCTGGGTTAAAGGTTCATTCTAAAACACTAAAGTCTAAACAGTCAGCCATCATATTATCCAGCATCTCTAAGTCTGTGGGTCCCTCATTCCCTCCCAAAAAAAACCCGAAAGCATCATCTTCAGAAGTAATGTTGGTGCTCTGTAGACTGCAATGCCTTATCATGCTGTAAACACCAGAAACGCAGGCATCTGGACTTTGTTTGTCATTTTTTTCCTTCTCCTTCCCCACCCACTCCATCTTGTACACATCATCCCATGCATATGCGAGCCTCCCTTCTTGCCCACCCCCAGAAGCCCGTACCCTTTGTTCACGCCCACTCCTTGGCTGTGAGTGTGAGGGTTGCATCTGTGTGTGGGTGAGCCCCAGGCAGCAACTGAAGCAATCATGAGTTAGTGTTGGGATCCTCACCAACTCCTTGCCCTACTGTCTCCCAGCTCTGACCTCTTTGGGAACCACGCTGGACATGTGGTTCCAGGAGTCACTGTGGGTCTTGCTGTCATCTGTTATCAAGAGAAGGAGTCATAGGCAGGGCTTGGTGGCACACACAGAGGCAGACAGATCCCAGTGAGTTTGAGGCCAGCCTGATCAACATAGTTCTAGGACAGTCAGGGCTCCATAGTAAGACCCTGTCTGGGACACAGAGGGAGGGAGGCAGGCAGGCAGGCAGACAGACAATAGACAGACAAACGGAGGTGAGCACACAGTCATAGTGAACAATATGCTGACCTTCAGATGTGACCGTCCGTGCTCTTGCTTGGCTGAGTGCAGAGATAGGTACCCAAGGCAGAGACCCTGCCCCAGAGGTTATCAAAGCACACCAAGAGTTCACGTGGGGCCTGCCTATACACCTGCCACCCTGAGGGCTGGCAGAGAATGGGGCTGTGTAGCAGGAATCTTAAAAGTTCTTATTAATAAAATCAAACCCGGGGCCAGTTATTGGGGTGAAATGCTGGAAGATCAGAGAGACAGAACAAGCCACAGCTAACCTCACCTGGCCAACTTCTCAGCTGGTCTTGTTTCCTCAGACTGGAAGCCTCTGTGTCCTCATATCTGAATGGCTCTCAGCTGAACTGTGCTGCTAGAAGCCTGAAAGCTTAACCAGCTAAATGCTTAACCAGCCAAATGCTTCTAGTTTCTGGTCCTCACCACTCCCTGGGATTAAAGGCTCGCTTTCTGGGATTAAAGGCGTGTGTCACCATGCCTGGCCGTTTCCAATGTGGCCTTGAACTCACAGAGATCCAGAGGGATTTCTACCTCTGGAGTGCTAGGATTAAAGGTGTGAGTGCCACCATTTTCTCGCCTTTGTATCTAGTGGCTGTTCTGTCTCTGACCCTTGGTTTATTAGGGTGCACAATATTTTGGGGAACACAATATCACCACAGGGCTGCTCCAGATTTAGGGGACAGTGAAGTGAAGCAGTAACAAACGGGAGTGCTGCCACAGGGTCTGCTCTTCTCCGGTGCCTGGAGGCTGTCTGGGAAGAGTTACCTGCTGGGCTAATCCACACAGGTGGGGGCACTGTGAGACAGCAGAAGAAGTCTTTGCTTCTGCCTGGAGGCCGGCCTCACCTTCTCCTTCCTGCATCCCATTTGTTCCCCTGTGCCTTGCCATTGACTGTCCCCATAGGCCCCTTTAGGTAGGTTCTGTTTTCTCACTTTGCAGAGGAGGAGACTGAGGCCAGGTGACTTGAGCTATACAGTTAGCAAACAGAGGACCAGACGACATCCTCCTAAAGTGTTCTCTCCTCACTGCTGTAAATCACACCGTTGATGAAGGACCCTGACTGCCTGCATGGTCCGTCCTGAGTAGGTCTCTCCCTCTGTACCCTATTGCTGATGTTTGAAATACTCCTAATTAAACACACATCAGATTTCTTGACCATGGTCCTTCAGTGTGGGCAGAACATCCTGGAAGCTGCAGATGCTCAGTTCCCCTATAGCCTACACACACCGTCTCCTGTACTTTAAATCATGGATCCCACCCCCCTCGTTCTCTCTCTCTCTTTCTTTCTTTTTTGCCGTGTGTGGGTTTTCAAGACAAGGTTTCTTGTTGTTGTGAATTTCTTATTTTAAATAGTTTCATACTGCACTGTTTGGGGAGTGTAGATGACACTATCCCATAGACTAAGGTTCAAACTAAATAGAAAGGAAGTACAGTATGCTAAGGGCCAACTACATATAGTATGTCAGAGGCTGAAAGTTGCTTGTTCTTTGTGTACTGCTCCTGCAAAGAACTCACCCACCTGCAACTCCAGCTTCCGGAGATCTGATTCCCTTTCCTGGTCTCCAAGGGCATGTGCATTCAAAGACACATGCATACAGAAATGTAATGAAAACTAAAATCTTTTTAAAAGTAAGGTTACTTGATCTTTAGTTTAAAAATGTCTAGTTTCAGCTGGGCAGAGGTGGTGCACACCTTTAATCTCAGCACTCGGGAGGCAGAGTCAGGTGGGTCTCTGAGTTTGAGGCCAGCCAGGTCTACAGAGTGAGTTCCAGGACAGCCAGACCTGTTACACAGAAACCCTGTCTTAAAAAACAAAACAAAGCAAAATTGTCTAGTTTCAAGGTTAGAGATGTAGCTCAGTGGGAGAGGGCTTATTTAGTATGAATGTACAAGACCCTGGGTCCCGCCCACAGCATTTCAACAGGAAGAAAGTAAGTATAATTTCAGACAATGAAAATACTTTTTTTTCTTTAAGGATTTATTTATTTATTATGTATACAGCATTCTGCCTACAGACCAGAAGAGGGCACCAGATCAAATTACAGATGGTTGTGAGCCACCATGCGGTTGCTGGGAATTGAACTCAGGACCTCGGGATGAACAACAGCCAGTGCATCTCTCCAGCCCCCAAAAATACTTTTTCTATACACACATGTGTACACGTGCATGCACGCCTGTGCACATACATACACATATCTATGCACTACATGTGCACAAAAAAAAGGAAAAAAAGAAAGAAAGTGCTTTCTAATATATCTTGATGTTTCTGACTTGGGGTATGACATTTATATCAAATTCGCCAACTAAAATCATATCACTTTTATGTATTAATTTTGTGTTACCTAGTCTGTCTCATATATTATTTCTTAGAACACCCATTTTGTATTTAAATGTATAATATGAATATATGGGGGCTGGCTCAGTTGGTAGAGTGCTTGCATAGCATGCATGGAGCCCTGGGTTTGATTTCAGCACCACATAACCTGAACGTGGCTGTCTATGTCTATAATCCCAGCATTTGGGAGGTAGACACAGGAAGATCAGGAGTTCACAGTCATCCTTGGATCGATAATGAATTGCAAGCCAGTCTGGACTACATGTTTAGCAGGCTAAAAATTATGCATCTTCAATTTTGGTGGAAACACAAGGGCCCAAAGTGTGGTTTCTGGAAGAGAAAAGTGGTAATTGACTCCTTGAAGTGAAAGGGAATTAACCAAGTTATTTAAAGTATCTAACAGTGTCTGAAGTGCCAGCCTTTGCAATGACCTCACCTACCATCATTCACTAGGCAAACACCCTGTGCTGTCCCCTGACAGGCCCAAGTGCTGCTTCAAAATCAAGATTAGGCTGAAAAATTCAAAACATGTGGATGATTTCTTTGGCTCTTGAGACTTCCGAGACATTAATTTCATTTGTATTTTTGTTCTATGATAGAAAAGTTCTGGTCATTTAAAATACTCAGCTGGTATGTTTAAAGACATTTGGAAATAGTTAAAATTTAACATGAAAACATTAATCACATTAATTTGATAAGGAAATGAGCAAAGTGGCCAGTAGTTCTCGGATCTTAACCAAATTGAATGTCGCAGTTGGAGTGTCTAGATCTTTGTTCCATATCTGCTTTCAGGTGTATGTGTTCTGTATCTTTGCTGCCGTGTAGGCTTGTTTAAATCATGAGGTGGTGAGATATCCTCAATAGGGGCTGGGGAGATGACTCGAGCTTGAGACCACCTTCTGCTCTTGCAGAAGATGAGTTCGGTTCACAGCACCCACATCAGGCAGCTCCCCAGGGGCCTGCAGGCATCTGTGCTCATGTATATATTCCTACACACAGACACACATGCATACACATAATTGAAAGGAAATAAATCTTAAAGAATATTTTTAGTAGGAGAACTTACAGGTAAAAAAGAGATGAAGCAGCCAGACGGGGTGCTAGGGGGCTTGTGTATTTACTCTGTAGCTTGATGCTAAAGTAGGTCACTCTACCTCTTCCTGAGTAAGAGGCTTGAAGGGGATTGCTGTCGCATAGGCAGCTTTGAACCCTGGTCTTCTGTATCATGATTGCTTAGCTGCCTAACAGCAAAGCCCAAGAGCCTTGAACCTAGCCTGTCTCCCTGGTACAGGGCTGTCCACTCCATACCAGCCTTTCCTGAAACTCCACTGGCTCACCGTGTGATGCTGCTGTCATCACTAAGGACTTCTCAGGTTTACCACTGTCGTGTGGACAGTGTTGGTTCCAGTAGCAGTTATGGCCGGTACCTCTTAAACCTTTCCTATGTGCCAGCACTATATGTTAGCTGATTTAATCCTTAGGAAGTAGTGTGCCTAATGTTAGACTGCCAACTGATACTCAAAATGGGACTCATATCCAGGTCAGCTGACT